TTACTTTGAAAGTAACGCTTTCTAACAAGTTTTTACACATCTTTAACCTTATTCGGAGCACAGATTCAATTTTGAGTGACATTAGTAGTACAAATATAAACATAGAGTGTCCCACATATCCTTTCAACCACAGGTATCTAGAGGTCAATGTAAAAGAAATGGCGCTTGTTTTAATGTCGAGGTATCTATAGCTGAAGAGTTGTTTAACGGCGAAGCTAGGGGTCTTGCCAATTAATTCGAAGGATGTGAACTAACAAAAAATTGTTTTCATTTTTTCACTTTTTACATTCATTTATTTTTTGTCGACAAATTATAATTATATTTCATCGAATAATATTATATCGTAATATTTCCTTTATTTAAATAAAATTTATAATTTAGTAAATTATCAGTTTTAAATTAAAAAATTTTTTTACAAGAAAGAAATAATAAATACAGTCATATAATAAATACAGGATCAACTTGCTTAGCGAAGTACAAGGCAAAGAAAAATATTTATGTGGCTCGTTTATATTATAATTATCATAACATCATCGTGTCGAGGCAAACTGCTTTTTAGGCAAACGGAACTCATCTATTTGAATCAGGCACGTGTCTTTCGCGATTTTCGCACCGCTATACGTAACGACAAATGTTGCCGGAAGATTCCGTGTATTGATTACGAATGACTTTCATCCCTTTCCTTCCCGCATTTCGTGCTTTTCTTAATCTATTGGCTTTTGTGATTATCAATTTTATTATTACTCGAATAATCATGTAGCTATCTCATGCATAGTTTTAGGGACAAAAATAGATACTCCATAAAGTTACAAAAGTTATATTTTTGGTTAACTCGAATTCCACACAATTCAATCAATACATAAAAATTTATAAGATATTAAGATATATTTTCGAATGACAGATATATTATTTATAGAACTATAAAATTGAATTTTTAGATAAATTTTGCTGTTGCAAAATATGTCCTTCAGATTTATTATAGATTTATTATAGATTTATTAAATCGTGATATAATAATTTATAAATAAAAATACAGAAATCGAGTTACGAATAAAATTTGAATAAAATGAAAATTTTTAACTTCGAGCGTATGTGATATTTTTCTATACATTCTATTTTTCGACGCTTATAAATATCCAATGATATTTGTATGAAGTGAGATGCATTTTAAATTATCATTCGTCTGTATCCATTTCTGTCTCTTAGTTACGGGTAAATGCCTTTAACCTCTAAGGTTCGAAATATCTCAACACGTGTATGCTCCATTTTCTCATATCGAATTAGAATACTAACAGAACAACAATATAAGTGGCATATTAACATAAAGACATACATTATTATATCAACACTTGCATCTTCAAAAAAAAAAGACTGAAATTACCTTGAGAAATATATACGAGATCTCGATAATTTATTTCGAAACCATTAACAACGGTTATTAATTAATCACGCTAATTACTCAAAGTGGCGCCAGAACGTTGCACGTTCAGCATACCTTGTCATTAATATCAGATAAACCTATCGGCGCAATGAACATCACGATTCTAACAAATCACGAAGCGAATATCGTTAAGAAAGAGCGAATAATTTTAATTATAAAATATATCGTTCACAATTATGTCAGGATTTTATCAATGACAGCTGATCGTTTCAAATTGCCTCAGCCTTGTTTGCGTATGTTCGTCTGTACGTTCGTCGATAACGAATCGATTGGAAATATATATATGTACACATATATATTATCTACGCGCCCTGCCAACCCGGGGATACGTTCATTGTCGATCGCTGTCTTGTCGAAATCAACGCGATTCCACCGAGAGGCAAATGACTTTATCCTCTTTATCTTATTACCGACATTTATGTACATCTCACGACACGATCGTCGCGATAATCCCACTCGTTGTATTATCGTGAATGTCAGTCAATTCTTATTATTGCGCGTTGTTCTTGCCTCGCATTGTCGATTAAGCTTTCACAATCGCATACGGGGTTCTATCTCTTTAAAGATAATAAATTTATCTACGCGTCTCTCTATGACTACGGATTTCTACATGAAAAATTTTCGCAACATACGTTGGAGAAGTCCTAATCTTTACAATATAATTAAATTGAGAAGTATAATTAAATCTTTACTCTTTAAAATTTTTAAAATGAAAGCTCACTGGAGAGTGAAATCTCACTCTTAAAGATCGAAAATTGAGCCATTTCTTTTCAGGACTGGCTCAATTTTCACTCTTTAGAGTGAGATTCCACTCCAAAAAATTTAAAAATTTATATAACTGAAAAATTGTTTATATATTTATTTACTGTACATTAGAAGTAAGAAAAATTCAAGTGAAACGTGCTTTAAAGATGAACAGCTTCACTGCTCGTTGCTTCGATTCAACGCTTGATGTGCTTATACGAAAGCGAGCGTTCTCCACACGAGAGAGGCGCGTTCGCCGATTCCATCCTATTACGATCGGATCGAAGTCGACCTTACCCCTCATCAGCGGACGTTTCATACAGGTGACGGCACGCCGGATGGTGAAGTCAGCGACGAGCTCTTTCAGCGTTTCGTCACGTGTCGAAGTGTCCGTTTTATGGTTAATTAAACCGGGGCAACTCGTGCTGACGCCTTCGCTCTGGCCGCACGCGTACAGCGCGTGCCGGAGGATCGAGAGATACGTGGAAACGGAAGAGAATGCGAAGGGAGCTTATGGTGGGCGCGCGGGGTATCGGGTGACGCATGAATGGAGGCCACGCGGCGGTGGTTGAAGTCGACGGCGGAGGCCTCCGTCTCCCTCTCTCACTTGATAACATATACCTCACCGCATCCCCTTACCGTAACTGACCTGCGCGCAGAAGCGTCCGATAAGAGTGGCGTAGAGATGTCGTCATAGAGATACGCGCGGAGAACGGGAAACGGTGACGTCATTGTTTCACTCTCGTATGACGTCACGGATAAATTGATGACGTATTAAAACCGCTTGTTCCGAGTGACCGAGTCTGCGCGAGAGGATCCGCGAAAGTCTGTCTGGAACGAGTGGGATGAGTGAAACCAGACACCGCAACACGAGAAGCGTTCCCATTGCGATAGCCTCATTTCGCGATGCTTTAGAAACTTTTAATTGAGTTCTCTGTATCGATACTAACGGGGCGAATTTATGAAAATAGGACAGCTATTAATGATTCAACTGTTGTAACTTAAGACACAATTTCTGCTGCGATGTCCGTAGGAATATTCGATTATTGATAGTCCCAATCAGATGATAATTTTTGCGAGAATTAAAGTTATAAAAATAAAGAACAATTTAAACAAATTAGGTCGTTTCTATAATAATTTAATTTTCTTCTTATGTGAGAGTTTTTAAATTTCCACATAGACACGGACACCTTAAGTCTTAAGAATTAAGTCTTAAAAAAAAAATAAAATTAAAGTTTACGATCCTTATTGTTAAAGTAGAAACTTTGATGGTTATCCATTATGAGAATAAACATCACGCAACCAGTACGAGGAAAATTAGCTATTTTTAGGCTTATGATAATTGCGAACTGATTCTTAGATCATTACGGACAAAATAGCGAAATACCGTCGCAACCTTACGCTATAATTATCAGCTATCGGTTGATTACATTACGGGAGGGTTGGCTGGATTGCACGTTCCTAGGTCATGGGTTAATAACTAACGACAGTACGTCTGGACTGCGCCCTCGATGCATTCCGGTGCATCGTTGCACGCACGAGCAACGAGTATCGACTCTCGCAGAGACTCTCTTCTCATCGATATTACAAAACCGGCTATAACCGACATAGGCTCGCCGTCAGATCGGCCTCGGTATATTTACGACAATGTGTAAAAAGTACGATAGTGCATTCGCATTAACGCATTACGAAATCGTTATTGACGAATTGAACGATTATTTACGATCGTATATTTTATGGCTCTAAGGAAAGGTATTTATTTAATGCCTAACTGTAAAATGAATATTCAGTTAACAATTTTATTAGTGAATGGAATTTCTTATGGCGAATGGGACTTAAACTTTTAATGAATTGTTAATTCGAAGACAAAGTTAGAGTTAAAGATATCCTTGAAGATTTGAATTAAAATATTTTATCTTATTACACTTCGTTTGCAAAATATATTATACGGAAAAAAATAATATATCATTATCATAACGTAGGCATATATGTACATGTAATAAATATTCTTGCAGTTTTCTAAAAAAGCATTTTGTAAAACTCAATACACACGTAATGCATAACATAGTAATATGCAAGCATTTTGCATAAAAATATATTTTTAACTATACTGTATAACTCATAAAAATTTTTAATTGCAATACATATATAAAATTCTGCGTATTATAGTATGTAAAAAGAACGACATTGTAATTATTGACGTAATTAAATATGTCACATTGAAACCGCGATTTTCATCAATGTGACATACCTAATTACGCTTAATACCCTGTGCAGTATTAAAAGAAATCAAGAAAGAAATAGAAATGAGAATCTTGAACGGAGAGCGAATTTAAAGGTCTCGAATTTTCCCTCTTTCTTCGTTTCTCCTTCATCGTTTATTTTTTCTCTTTATCTTGAACGATCGTCGGGTCCGCGTGCCGCCACCGCCCCATACTGCCTCGAGGGGCACTGTTTGCGTGGGGTAGAAACGGGTGTCGGAGGGTGCGGGCGCTACCGGGTGGCCGGTGGGTGGCGTGTTGACGTCACCGTAACGGCATCATCAGCCGCGTGGGCCAATGGATGCGCTCATACTCAGGCCGCCGGGTCCATCGATCCGGTTGCAGCCGTGTGTGCGTCCCGAGTTATGACGTTCGCGGTGACGTCATCGTTAGCGCCGTTCGCCTCCCGTCGCCGCGCCTTCCGTTACTCCGCTCCGCTTCTCTCCGCGCCGTCCTACGCCACCACCGCCGCCGTCGCCGCTACACACGGTACGGTTTTAATATAGTGGAGGAACGCGCGCGATCCGGACTCAGTTACGCGGCGGCTGGCCACCCGTGCGAGTGTACCGCTCTCTCTCTCTCTTTCTCTCTCTCTCAGAGTAGTCGAAGGTCCAGCTCTCTAAGGATCTTTCACCTGTTGTCTCCCGCGTATCGCTCACTCTCTTTCATTCTATCCGTCTCTCGACGTCCGCTCTCGGTTCCGTTCGCAGAATCGACAGTAAAACATTACAGTTTAGTTTCACGCGATTCATTATCGTGCGGGATTGAGCGTTTTTTTTTTTTTTCAAGAGAAGGGTGGCTTTATATCTCCGCGTGTTGATCGTCGCGTTTTTCGGTGCTCCGTAGTGACGATCCTCATCGATCCGCGCTACTAGCTATATACCGGTGCTGAATGGTAACCGCGATTACGGCGGCCCATTTCGCGACGAAACAGAATCAATCAGCGGCAGGTGCATCTAAGGATCAAGCTCGAAAAGGAAATTCAACGATGTCGTCCAACATGACGACGCGGAAGCTACGATAAGCGGTGACGAGGCACCAGAATCCTGCATGCGAGTACCCAGAGCTGAAGTATTCGGGCTCCTCGGTGGAGCGCTGACCTCTGATAACATCATCAGGAAGGACTCGCCTTGCCCTACGACGACGCACGCAGGTCGGTGATACCATCGCATATCACATCACGTGTGCTGTCTCTCACGTTCGTTTATTTGTTGTTGCGCGGGAGGAGGCTGCCGCTCTGCTCCTGTGTGTTGTGTGTCTATGTGTGTTGCGTGTGGAAATCACGAAGCGTTCTCCACTGGCTGACGGCGGGAGTCCCTCATCTATTCCAATTCTTCCTTTTTTGCTTTTCTTCTCCTTTTTTCCTCTCTCCTTTTCTCTCGATTTATTCCCTAATTTGGCTCGTGTTATTATACTGATAATCAAACGATAATCAAACGAGACAGAGCTTTGACTGATAGCCGCGTAACGGATTTTCGACCGTACATCACTGAAAGTCTGATCTCTCATTGTCGTTTCTACTTCATTTTTTTCTCCCTTCTTCCTGCCGTTCATCCGATGCGGTGCGCATGCTTCATTATTAAAGGGATATATCGATGTCAACTTTTTGAGCATCTCTTTGAGCGCGACGCGTTTTTTAATTAATCCGGACTGTGCATACCGATCTCATTTTGTATACAATCTCATCATTCGCATGTAAGGATTAAAGGGACCTGTCGAACCCGTCAAGATATTCAGTGTCGAACATTAGATCAACTTGTCAGGATCTAGGTCTCCGATGTCCACGACGATCGGAGCGAAGAACTCGCGTTCCAATACACTGGAGTTCACGTGATTATTTTTGCGGATACATGTATATATGTATATAAAATTCTGAGGATCTATGTGCGACGCCTCGTGAGATCTATAGATCGCAAACGCATACGACATTTTAGACTATTTATCTTTTCGACGCGGATACGCGTTTGCCGTCTACATCGCGGAATCGTGAATCACCCCGCGGGATGTCACGCGCGATCGGCGGTCGCCTGATGAGCAGTCGGTACGATTGAACGAAGCGCAAAGTTGAAGCGCCGCTGATTGTTCGCGCGATGCGCACCACCGTTGAGGACAGTACCGGCAGCACGGAAGCGACCGCTGCCACCGTCGGCGTCGCGGCGCATCACCATCATCAGCATCAGCAGCATCGCGGTACTACCAACGTCGCCGCCGTCGCCGCCGTCCGGCACCTGGGCGTCGAGCAGCAGGAGCGATCGGCGGCACCGATCCATCTGGCCACCGCCACGCCATACCATCAGCTCACCATCGCCGCGGACACCAACAACAACCACGATCATCATCGGAATCTCGAGCATCACGCGGTCCAACGACACGATCATTGGAATAAGTGTAAGTCAGAAAATACGGGGCGGCAAGACCGCGGATTATTCCCGTAAGCTGCTCGCTGCTGGTGATGGTTATGGTGATGGTGATGTACGATGATGATGATGATGGTGATGATGATGATGATGATGATGATGATGATGATGATGATGATGATGGTGGTGGTAGTGGTGGTGGTAGTGGTGGTGATGGCTCCGCGCTGAGGGTGCTAAATAGTACTCTCGAGTACTCTTTTGTTCGTTCGAAATTTTTGATTTCGCCGCCGTCTATAAGGTTACGTTTTTTTTTATTGATAATAATACTCTCTAAAACTTTTAGAATAAAAATCTTAATCTAAAAAGTGAAATCTTAAAAATTGAAAATTGAGTTACTCTTTTTCAAGACTGGCTCAATTTTCATTTTTTAAATTATCTCCGATCTCCAGAAGATCGATCTTTCTAAACAACAATAGCAATTACAAACTGATTTTGCGAAAAATTGATTTTTTTAATTAAAAGAAATTATTCTAAACAGATTTCTTTGTAAAAAAATCGCTTTTCTTTTTAAATAAAAAGGATTCTTTTGAAGTAATCTTTTTGAAAAAAATCTATTTTTAGCGAATCGATTCAGAGATCTCATATCCTTATTTAGAATGAGATTTTACTCTAAAGAATTTAGTGAGTATGAAAATAGTTCCTTTCTTTCGTTCTAGACTTTTCTTCATTATGCTATATATCCTGTCTGAATATTAAGAATTCTGCAACTAATTCGATTGATAGCTGACAATTGAATGACAGTAAATTATGAATGGAATTTTTCGAAATATTATAGAATATACGTAGATCGTTCATATAAAATATATGTATTATAAAATGTTATTAAATTGTAAATATAAACTAGAAAAGATCACGTTACATATAAAAGGAAATTTGATATCTCAATGCGAATATACAAAACGTTAAGCACAGTAGATGTCATTTTATTTTTATTTTACTTTTATAAAAATGAATTTTTTCTTAAAATTATAATCACTTGGGAGTCATCAAATTGTTGAAGAATCTGATTACCAAAAAATATGTACAATTAGATATCAAAATATTTGGACTTTTTCTTTTATTATTAAATAGTCAAATTTGGAACTGGAATAATATTATGCGACATTAATGTTTAATATATCAAATTTTTTATTATCAGATAAAAATCAGATTGTAATTTAAAAATCGTCCAATTAATTTTTTTCAATTTTAGTTTGCATTCAATTAAATACATGCACGAAATATTAAAATTTTTTATGGAGTATGATTCTGCATTGTTAAAACATTTATTTATTCAATTTAACATTTATTTTACTGCTCGATATTTAGGTCATACAATATCAGCTCTAGTTTTGCTTGCAAAAACGAAAATTTATCGAAATAAATGTAATCATAACGTCTGTTGCTAACTAAATTTTTGGCTTGCTAACATGACAGAAAGATTATTGTGCATAATTTTCGTTAGCTTTCTATGCAATATCGCTTTTTATCGTAGATACTGATCGCTTCAGTTTTATTTTAATAATTGTGTTTCGGGGTGATGTCACAAGCAGCTTACTCATCTATTTCGGTTTCTAATATTGAAACGAAATATTCGAGCATCAGTCGTCAATATGAATATTAATTCATTTGAAAAAAATGATGAGTTTTTTCGCCCGTACAATATTTGTTCTTCGATAATTGTAACTCGTTCTTCTCTGTGCCATTTGCAGTACATCGAGCGGCGGTTAAATAATTGAACGTTATTACGGGGCGATTTGGGTTATCGCCACCTCACCCTCGTCCGATATATTTCCAAACGTTCGTCACCGTTTGTGCCCGATATCTGCTTACGTCACGGCCGTGACGTAGACGGCGGACGAGAATAACGTTGTTATTATTTCGCTTAGACAATCGCGGTGGTCCACTTTGACACGATTATTCCCCGTCGGCCAATTAAATTACAATTTACCTGGCGCATTGATCGACGTCGTTAAATTATGACGTCAAGAAAGCTGTCGCCTTTAAGTTTTCAACATCTGCATTTCACATCACTCGATATGAATAAGTAATAACATTATTAACATTATTAACGTTAAAAAATATCACTTTTTAAAAATTTTTTAGATAACTTATTACTTTATTAGTTTTAAGCTATTAGTTTTTTGAAATTGTGTTCACTTTAATGTAATTATTTCAGTACATTTGCGAGATTTTCTTGAACTAAAAATGCTCTATTATAATCAAACTTCATGAATGAAAATATATCGAGAAGTTTAACAAAAATTAAAGATTTATTGGATATATCGATATTATAGTGAAACTCATAATAAATAGTAACATTAATAATATTGTTAACACGAAAGAATATTTAAAATTTTCAGGTGACTTATTAATTTTATACTTTTAGTTTTTAGAAATTATGTTTTCAGAAAAAATCATTTGTAATTAAGAATATTCTACAAAAATGAAATTTCATGAAGAAATATCGGGATATACATTTTTAATAGAAATTAAAAATTTGTTAGTTATCTTTGTATTGTCGTGGAATTCATTGTCATCAATATCATTTTCACGCTTCTCAACTAGACATATGTATTCAAAAAATTTTATTCAGAAAACTATATTATTTTCTCGCTTCCATCACAGAGCTATAATTATCGTTATTATCTTTCAGTCGATTAGTCGATAAGTATATAAATAAATCGATATAATCTGCACTCTTACAAGCAAAAACTCTGCAAATCTGTTTTAATTCATTTCCACGCTTCCTAACCAGGCATATCTAATCAAAAAATTTTATTCAGAAAACTACATTATTTTCTCGCTTCCATCACAGCTTCCATCATTATCGTTATTGTCTTTTAGTTAATCAATCGATAAATATATAAATAAATCGATATAATCTGCTAAGCTAACTTTCATAAGCAAAAACCGTGCAGGTTCCGTTTTAGCTTGATTTAGAAAATTCACTTTGTTCGAAAGACGCATACTTCGGCGTGTTCGGGTGGACTTTCGCGGGTGGTTTCCACCCTCACCGGTAATTAATCGATACCGCGGGATCTGCGCTCTTCGTTTCCCACAGGACTTTTTAGGTGTAATCGGCACGTAGAGTACAGTAAATATAGTCTGGCAATTAGCCGAGAGTGCAAACCGTTTCTTTTCCGCGTACATACTTGGCCTGCACGGTGAGACCGCAGGGAAAGAAGAGAGTATACGAGGATTACAAATATAACTACTTACGCCGAGAGCGGGTGCAGGTGCGGCATGGCAAGACGCGGCGAGGTGAAGCGAGACGGCGAGGCGGTCAGCCGGCCGATCGGTCATCGGTTTGCATTGCCGCGCTCGAATTGCGACAGGCGACAGCAGCCGATCGTAACGCTTTCGCAGGGAGATAAACGGCCGTGACAATGGTAAATCCGCGGCTTATGACTTCAGTCAGAAATATATAAAAAGACGTAAGCAGCGAATCGATCAATCACAGTAGAGAATAACTTTGTGTTGTTTTTTGTGACTGGTCGATTTGCTTACTTGCTTTTGTCTTGTTGCCTTACGTTTTTTTTATGTGTTTTTAACTTTTCTCCATTATCAAACTCTGTTATCAAGCTAAGGGTGAAAACACAGAGTTTTGCAAACTATATGAAAATTAATCAATCAGAGTCCTTCATTTCCTTCCTTTCCACGAAATAAAAGATTTTGTTTCGTGATCAACGATCTGATTGGTTAATTTTATTATAATATATTTTATGTATTCTGCAAAGATATGTGCTCCGGCATA